GTGTTGTTACCTGAATGATCCACAGCTGTGTTTTTTGTTTAGTGATAGCTGTCATGAGCTGATAGTCATGAGTCCCTTGTTTGTTCTGAACAGTTAAACTGCCTGCTGTTCTTCAGAAAAATCCTTCAGGTCCCACAAATTCTTTGATTTTCCAGCACTTTTGTATATTTGAACCCTTTCCAACAATGACTATATGATTTTGAGATCCATCTTTTCACACTGAGGGCAACTGAGGGACTCATATGCAACTATTACAGAAGGTTCAAACGCTCACTGATGCTCCAGAGTGATGCATTAAGAGCCGGGGGTGAAAACTTTTTGAATTTGAAGATCAGGGTAAATTGTAGGGCTGTCCCCTAATAGTCGACTAACCGTTAGTCGACCAGAAGAGGCTTGGTTGACCGAAATTTTATTAGTCGCTTAGTCACAGAAAAAATAAAAAAATCCACAGGCGAAGTCACGCAGTCCGTGACTAACAGATCGTTAACGGCTGGTATTTATGGTAATACAGTACATCAGGCAGGACATCCAAACGCTCGCCTATCATTCATCGACATCAAATATGGCTTATCATCTGAAATATGTAAGTATTAGCAACTTTACATGGCCGCTCAATCTAATGATAACCTAGAGAAATGTGCGCTATAGTGGAGTGGAGCTGAACAGTAGCACTCACTGCAGGACAGATGGAGGCGCCGGTGTGGCCCCTTGCTCTTAAAATACTCCCTCATTTTTAATCATACAGATAAGAGTAATACATCTTTCAAATCTGTAAAGACTCTACGTTTATTTGTGTGCACTCACAATAACAACAAAACACGCTTTTGTAAAATAATGAAAGCAAACGTGCTTTCTGCCGTCTTGCGGTCTCTGTGAACTTGAGCGTGAAACTCCATGTATATCTGCCTTACAGACATTAAAAATATATCTACAGACAAATCACATAAAAGTTTGATGCCATTCAAGGAGTTGTTCTGCTCTGTTTGGCCATTGTAATTCACTTCACCCTTTCTGAATTCTGCAGAGGCTTAGATGTTTGCTTGACATGGATGTTTTCTTGTGTGGAAGTGGCGCAGATGAGGCACTTGTTTCTTCAGCTCTGGTGGTATCCTAAGAAGCGGTTCATTAGATAGTTTGTTGTGTTCCCCAAATCAAATTTTTCTTTAATTTCCCTCTTTTGATTGCACATTTTGGATTTTTTTTAATTTACTTTTTTTTTTTAATTCACATTTAAGTGCAAATAACAGTATGTTAGTCTTGAACGAGTAAGCTTTGAGCTTAAGCATTTTTTAATGCTCATTTGTTTGTTTATGCATCTGTCCAATGCAGCCTCCAACCCAATCTTTCTCAAAGTGTTTTTTTGATTTTGCTGTATAGAATGCTTGTTGATAACATTACTTGTGTGTCTTTAATGTCTGCAGGAGGCCAGAGGAACTGGTTGCAAGTTTTCTGTAATGGTGGGGTTCCTACTGAATTGGCCCTGCTCTATATGATTGAAGTTGGTCCTGGAGAAATACCTGTGGATTTTGGGAAGCAATATTCCGCTTCATGGATGTGCTTATCACTCTTAGGAGCCCTGGCTTGCAGCACAGGGGACACCTGGGCTTCTGAAGTTGGTCCTGTGCTTAGTAAGAGAAAACCCAGGCTCATTACCACCTGGAAAGATGTCCCAGCAGGTACAGAGTCCAAAAATTTAATGGTTAAAATTAACAGAATATTCTAAGTAAGAATTTAAGGGGGTCCTATTATACTTTTTCACTTTTTCAACTTTAGTTAGTCTGTAATGTTGCTGTTTGAGCATAAAAAAAGATCTGCAAAGTTACAAAGTTCAAAGTCCACTTCAAAAGGAGATATTTTATTTAACAGAAATCACTTTTCAAAAACTACAACGAACGACTCGTTATGCCAGACGGGGGAGAGAGTTGTTGTAATAATGTAAAATATGTGAAAGATAATGTGTTTTTCGAACAACCTAGTATGAGAGCCTGTTCTAGTACACCCCCAAAACAAAATCAAGACTTTGTAAAAGAGCATAATAGGACCCCTTTAAGTATAATTTAAATGTGATTCAGATGTTGTGAATTACCACAGACCATAATTATGGCCAGGATTTTAAATTTATTTTTTTTATTCAGCAGTCAAGCTACTCAGAAGTTGTACTTGCCAAAACAAAAATATCAGCAATAATCCAGATTATAAAAATGACAGTTTAGGTTTAAATATATTTACAATAAAATCTAATTTTGAATTATTACATTTACATTACATTTAGTCATTTAGCAGACGCTTTTATCCAAAGCGACTTACAAATGAGGAGAATAGAAGCAATCAAAAGTAACAAAAGAGCAACAATATGTAAGTGCAAATGACAAGTCTTGGATTAGCCTAACGCAGTACACGTAGCGAGGTATTTTATATATATATATATATATATAGACACACACACACACACACACACACACACAAAGAAAAACAAGTAGATAGAATAAAAAAAATAGAAAGCTAGTGTTAGTTTTTTTAAATAAAAAAGATAAATAGATAAAGTTTAATTAAAATAGAATAGAAAGTGCTAGAGTTAGAGGGTCAAATAAAGATGGAACAGATGTGTTTTTAGTCGTTTCTTGAAGATGGCTAAGGACTCAGCTGCTCGGATTGAGTTGGGAAGGTCATTCCACCAGGAGGGAACATTTAATTTAAAAGTCTGTAAAAGTGATTTTGTGGTTCTTTGGGATGGCACAATCTAGCGACGTTCACTTGCAGAACGCAAGCTTCTAGAAGGCACATAACTCTGAAGTAATGAATTTAGGTAAAGGGGTGCAGAGCCAGTGGTGGTTTTGTAGGCAAACATTAATGCCTTGAATTTAATGCGAGCAGCTACTGGTAGCCAGTGCAAATTGATGAACAGAGGTGTGACATGCGTTCTTTTCGGCTCATTAAAGATTAATCTTGCAGCGGCATTTTGGATTAATTGTAGAGGTTTGATAGAAGTGGCTGGAAGACCTGCCAAGAGAGCATTGCAATAGTCCAGCCTGGATAGAACAAGAGCTTGAACAAGGAGTTGTGTTACATGTTCTGAAAGAAAGGGCCTGATCTTCCTAATGTTGTATAAAGCAAATCTGCAGGACCCGGCAGTTTTAGCTTCTTGAAGATGGCTAATGACTCAGCTGCTCGGATTGAGTTGGGAAGGTCATTCCACCAGGAGGGAACAGTTAATGAAAAACTCTGTGAAAGTGATTTTGTGCCTCTTGAGATGGCACAATAATGCGTCGTTCACTTGCAGAACGCAAGCTTCTAGAGGGCACATAAGTCTGAAGTAATGAATTTAGGTAAAGGGGTGCAGAGCCAGTGGTGGTTTTGTAGGTAGATTTTTATTAAATCACTTTTGACTGTTTTATGTCTTGTTTGCGGATAGCGTAAATATGAACGAGTAGTGCCACCAATCCTATCTGTTGCAAAATACTTTGAGACTGTGACTTTTCTTATAAAACAGCATTTATTTCCCCAAATATAGCTGACCCAAAATAATTGTTTAAACATAAAACAATGTGGTAAGATTAGTGGACAAGCTTTCAGCTATTTCTTTTCATCAGCTGTTTCAAGTCAGCATACTTAACTCAACGTATTAAAGCCTCTTTTCCACTTACGTTCATAAAAAAAAACATTATTCTCACTCCGACAGTGATGAAAAGCATGCCACATAATATGATGACATCATTATACCCTAGCAATAGAATTTCACAAAATTCCCATGCCATTCGCCACTTTGTGTCAGAATACACTGATCAGCCACAACATTAAACATTACACCGGTTCAATAGTTGTCCTTCCTTGCACCTCTTTTGGTAGGTACTAGGGATGTTTAACAGCGATCGAGTACTCGAGTACCTGGCTGTGACAGCAATGATCAATCATGAAAACGATGAACGTGAATTTATTTATTTTTTCTCTGATTGGTTATAGCAGCACTTTGGGCGGCACCCTGAGCTCTGATGGTTTAGCTTGCCACAGCATGCAGTCCAAAGTATAGACATGAGAAGAGAGAGAAGCATGGCTTCGAAGTCACATAGTGATGTCTGGGTTAGCTACATACATATCGGATTAATCTAATATAGGATGCGTTGGGATATTAACATGCTGAATGCGATGCATATTACCAGTGTTTAGTTTCATGATCAAATTCAAGTTAATTTCATGTTCAAATTCAGTTATTTGAGATGGTCATACTGCTTTTAGATGTTTCTTTTTTTTAAATACAGATGTTATAATAATGCAGCAGTGCGTTTTTCGTCATATTTGTTCAACAGTAGGCATACTTCAATTAAAATTGTTTTCGTACTTAATATGGCTTCGAAAACGCGCAGGCGATTTCAGGAATCACTTGATAATGTAGATGAAAATATAGCACAAATCTGCCATAAATATAGCATTATAATGAGAACTTTATAGAAATCTATAGTAAATTCTGTTTTCTTTACTTGAAACATCACGGTGGGAGCTCTGTCTCACTCTCTGTCTCTCGCTATAGTACGTAACTTAAAGTTCACTGGCATTTGCATCCTTTTGTACAGATACAACAGATACAGTTGTAATGTTACAATACAATACAATATAAGTTTATTTGTATAGCACATTTAAAAACAACTGGTGTTGACCAAAGTGCTTTACAAGGCTAAAAGAAACAGACAATAATGACACAAAGCATTTAAGCACTAGAGAAACAATAAAAGAAGGCCCAGAACTTAAATGTAATGTTACGTCTATGTTATGTATATGTTATCTGATTAATATCATAGGATGTGTCATAGAACGGGTTTCAGTTTATTGGCATAAAGTCACTCTTCAGCTTCACCTCAGGCAGCTATTTCTTTTTAGATGCTCCTTTTTAATAACATTGCTGCATCATAATCATAATCTAACAGTGTTCTAATCATGTGTTCATGTTTTCATAGACAGGTTTTTATGTCATATTTTTATTTTTGAAACCTATCGATGATCAAAATAAGAAATTGCCAAAAATGTGACAGAACATGATATTAACCTCCATATTGGCAAATGAGTTCATAGTGTAACCTGTCTCGGTTAATTTTCATTTGCATTTGGAGGGTTGGTGAGTGTTAATTTTAACACCCTGATTATGGTCAGTAAGTGATTTATGTAAGCAAAAGGCCTTTGTCTTAACTGCTATAAAATGGTTTATAGGTACCAATGGCGGAGTCACTCCTGTTGGATTAGTGGCCAGTGTTTTGGGTGGAGGCACAGTGGGAACAGCGTACTACTTCATGCAGCTCCTGTTGGTAAAAGATCTGCATTTAGCAGTTCCTCAGTGGCCTATCATCTTGTATGGAGCAATAGCTGGTCTGTTTGGATCTCTGCTAGATTCATTCCTCGGTGCAACCATGCAGTATTCAGGTAATCTGGCTGATTATTATTAAAGGTAAATAAAATCAAATAGATTAATTTATATATTTTTCCCCCTGTGGTCCACCACAATATTATTGCAAGTTTCTTGCAACAGTCATACTAACAATGCTAATTTACTTTTATGCAATATAAATAATTTATCATCTTCTGTCAGCGCTCCTTTTGATTCTAATTGGACATGAAAAGTTACTTAGCACTGAATGATTATTGATTCTTAAAATCCCAAGATCAATCTTTTAATCAGTGCCTATGGATGTTACGTTAATAGTGCAAAATAAAATGTAACTTAATGTTACTTTATTTATTTAACAATAATGATGAAGGATTCATCATTATTATTAAATAATTCCATATCTTGAGAAATGCTGTCACCTCCTCCGTATTGTTATCTGTTATAAACTAATGAAGAAAAATATTTGGAAATATGAAGTCAGTGAAGCAGTTTGGTTTTATATTATAACATATTTGGGGGGAAAGGTCAGTGTGACGTAACTAACATGCAATACATGGTAATTTTTCATATTGGACTGACTTATTTGTCATTTCTGCTGGGTTTTCTTTTAATATTTGTTTAAAATTTTCTAGGTGTTTCACTATTTTTTTTTTCTTTCCATCAAGGATACGATGAATCCATTGGGAAGGTTGTGAGTTATGAGTCACCGAGCGTTAAAAGAATATGTGGGAAACCCATCCTGGACAATAATGGAGTGAATCTGTTCTCTTCTGTACTCATAGCACTATTCCTGCCTGGGTTTGCTTGGATATTCTAGGCTAGGCACTGAATTTTAAGTTTAATTGTGTATCATGTCCCTTTTAAGATAAAAAGCAGTTTATGCTAAAACAATGCCATTACCATAACACCATGGATTTTTTTTTTTTTTAATTTAATCAAGCACAATTTAAACTCCCAATGTCTTTGTTTCTACGCATTGTATTGAGGCTTTCAAAATTACTTTAAAGTTGAAATGTGTAATGTTAAAATATTTCACATAGGAGAACAAATAAATTATATTAATCTTGAATTATACTGACTCTCCAAGTATTTCCTCTTGTGTGCCTCTATGACTTTGGAAAGACTTGTGATGGCAAATAGGCAAATATTTAAGCATTACAGCACGGTACACAGAGCTCAAAATACTGTAAAAACCTGTCAAAGTCACAGACTACTAGAGCCAAGAATAGTTTCTAGGCCACTACAGGTCCGATCACTTCATTACATGCCCACTAGGCAATTTTTTTCGTAGTCCATTTCTTACATAATCATTTTAAATGAATAGCGTTTTCTGTTTATCACCAAATGTATGTGTCTCTGTGTAAGTGTCTATGCCATTTATTACAGGTGTAGGTTCTGGTGTTTTGTGTATGTCAGAGATCAACACATTCAAGTATTCCATTGGAATGTATGTGTACTTTGTGGAATAAAGTACCCTTACACACAAAGCATGCTAGGTTCTTCAGCCATTCAACCATCCCTTTCTGTTTACTGTCTTGAATTAAAAATAATAATTATGATTATGAGCCATTTGGTGATTCTGAATATTTTTTTAAGTATTTATATTTTGTTCCAGATATGTAAAATAATAGTGTTCAAAACTAACACTCGCCAAGCACCAAACGTGGGGTTGAAATGGCTTTGGCAAGTAAAATTGCAAAAAAAAGAGTAAAATTTCAAGGAAGTAAAATTTCTAATTAAGAAAATAACATGCATTACAGGTAAAGATGGTAATAGCTGCTCCTGCTCCAGGTTACCTATGCAAACATATTTTACATGTAGCCTAGATGATGTTTGGATATTACAACAAAACCATATACTAACAAATAGCATGTTTACACAGACCCATAATGACCCATTCTGCTATCACCTAAAAACACTGGAGCCTCAACTGCTTGTCACTGCATTTATGTACATTTACTTTAGTTTGGAATCTGATTTAAGATAGGAAGGCAAATGTGGTCAATTGGAACACGCCTATGGTGTGCTACATGGATGATGTTTTTGTGTAGGCCAAACCTGTGGATCCTTCAAAAAGAGACACGGCAACAATCACTAAAGTAAAAGCTAAAGTTGAGCTATATGCAAACTACACCACAGTTGTGTAACTTAAACGACACCACCATTAAAGCTTCTGACAACTCTTTCAATCTTTAAAAACATGTTCATTGATCCACTGTGCACTTCTTATATTGTGGATGAGTCTGCCCCCCAACTTTTTTTGGGAATGTGTCCAATGCTGTATTATTTTGAGAAAATTCAGTTTGTTTACATGCATTTCTTTTAGATTGTTTTTCTTTGATGTTGAATAATGATGTTTTACTTGGCTTCTGTAGTTTACTTTTTTTTTTAAATAAATGTACCTCCAAGAACTGTAAAGCTTTCATCTGAAAAAAGAAATCCATCTCATTTTGTCACGTATGTAATATTTACGTATTTTACATGTGAAGGATTTTATGTAAGAAAACTCCACATTAAATTATATTCCACACTAAATAATTTCACATTTCAGCACTGATGCTGCACAGCTAAGGAAGGGAAGCACTAAAGAATCTAGCACACACTTTAAGATAATTTATAGTATAATAGTCATATAAAGACATATGTGTTAAAAGGTAAGAATATAAGTAATCATAAGGACAGCACATTGTAACCTGACACCAGCACCTGCAAAACATTGCACATTACAGATTAAACAACATTTCACGTAAATACAATTTTAAAGACCACACATATTATACAAATAAATAATAAAAAAGATAACAAATAAATGCCACTGGACTGACAATATTTTAAACTTCACACTCATTTGAACTATTGACCTATGACATCCTATAACATGCAGTTAATTTAAATGTCAATGTTTGCCATCAGTCACAACACATGACTTACTTTTTGACTTCTCTTTCGGCCAGACAGTAACAGGGAATGATTTCTTTTGGACGTCAGTTGTTCATTTAATTTTATTTCATTTATTTTAATTATTTAAGTGCCAATACACAGACAGAAATTAATCGCCTTGCCAGTTATCACCAGATGGTAACACTGTGTTGAAAAGCCTTTTGCTTCGCAAAGCTTAATTTTACCTTTACTAATGTGTATTTAAACCCCTGGCCTCTTTGTAATTTTAATAAAATAGAACTAAGCAGATTTACTGTACATCTTCTACAAAAGTATTTTCTCTTAGCGTGACCTGATCCATTATGGCATTGGCAATAATCAGTGTTGTGCCCTTTTTGGCATGATGACAGTTAAACTCTGCAGTCCTTTTTAGCCACTTGTTAGCAACCGCCTTTTTCAAGACAGATTAAAAGAATCATGTGTGGGGTATTACTGGTGTATTTTTTGTTACATAAAATGTGAAAATATCTTGAACTTGTGTTAACCACAGACCTTATTTCAGGCATTTAACCAAATGTCCATTCAATAAAATCCATTGACCTCAGGACGATGGAACCAGAAGTCTAATTTTTAAGGTCTTAGTTTTAAGGTTTTAGGTGTGTGCATGTGTGTGTTTTGAATGGTTGTTTATGAGTCCCTTGTTTGTCCTAAACAGTTAAACTGCCTGCTGTTATTCAGAAAACTCCTTCAGGTCAGGTTCTTTGGTTTTCCAGCATCTTTTGCATATTTGAACCCTTTCCAGCAATGACTGTATGATTTTGAGCTCCATCTTTTCAAACTGAGGACAACTGAGGGACTCATTACATCAAAAAGTTCAAACACTCAGTGATGCTCCAGAAGGAAACATGATGCATTAATAGTCAGGGGTGTAAACTTTTGAACAGAATGAAGATGTATACATTTTTCTTGTTTTGCATAAATATCTTTTATTTTTTATGTTATTTTTTTTAGTACTGCCCTTCAGAAGCTACAGAAGATACTTGTTTCCCTGAAGACAAAATAAGTTAAATTTACCCTGATCTTCAAATTCAAAAGGTTTTCAGGCTCTTAATGCTTTGTGTTTTCTTCGGGAGCATCAGGGAGTGTTTGTTTGAACCTTTTGTAATAGTTGCGTATGAGTCCCCCAGTTGTCCTCAGTGTGAAAAGATGGATCTCAAAATCAAGATGCTGGAAAACCAAATAATTTGTGGGACCTGAAGGATTTTTCTGAAGAACAGCAGGCAGTTTAACTGGTTAGGACAAACAAGGGACTCATGAACAACTATCACAAAAAAAAAAAAAAACAGCTGTGGATCATCCAGTTAACACAGTATTAAAGGGGTCATATGATGCTGCTAAAAAGAACATTATTTTGTGTATTTGGTGTAATGAAATGTGTTTATGCGGTTTAAAGTAAAAAAAACACATTATTTTCCACATACTGTACATTATTGTTTCTCCTCTATGCCCCGCCTTTTTGAAACGCGTCGATTTTTACAAAAC